ACAAACAAAATGGCTAAGATTTTATTTCTTTTTTATTCAGAATGTTGTGCTTTTATGAGTCAGGTTGTTTTGTTTATGAGTGCTCAAGCAGGTACAGTAAATACCCTAAGTTTGACATTGAAATAACTTCGGGCCACCCACACCCACATGCGGAGCACAATAACAACAATATCTACTCCCAGGCACGGTGGCAGCTGCAGAACTTCTTTTTTTCCAGCCTGCATTTTGTCAGGACCAGCCAACCAGCGAGTGCAGTGGAAGCAAAAGCAGGCTACTCTTGTGCTTTTTGAACTGTCATCTGATCCAGCCTTCATCATAACCAGAGCTCTTTTGAAGCGTGCCAGAGGAAATGTCAGAACCAACAGCAGAACTCACCAACAAGCCTTTTGCGGTCCAGTTGTCCAATGTTTATCTCAGCATCTTGGCTCTGTTCTGCTTCAAGCTCTTCGTTAAGATCTCTCTCAACTTGCTAACATACTTCTATATAGTCCGGGGAAACCGTAAAGAAGCTGCCAGAATATCAGCAGAGTTCTACGATTATGGTCAACAACACAGTAAGTAGGAGAAAATGATTTAAGTCTTTTTTTTCCCATTTATATGTTGTTAAATAATAACGGTCAAAATGAAGCAGAGGAATGTGAACATACATAGTGACACTTGACCTCAGCTCTGTGAAGYCAGATGTAAACATGGTAAACATTTATTTAAATATAGTGTTCATRCTAATGCTAAATCTCTAATGTAGTCATTGTCTTCATTAATTTATTCACTAATGCAAACATGAAAGCGAGTCCACTTTCCTTCTTGTTTCATGCCTAATGGCCCTCTTTTAAACCCYGAAAGTGGTTTTAAATGAAGTCACCGTCGGCCCCAGCAGTTCTTTCTCTCTAATGTAATAATAGAACACAGTCATGATATCCTTCTCATCCCACCCCCACCATCCTGCCCTAGTTTCCATTCCCAGCTATGCGGGTGCACCCTGTCACACTCTCACAGCAACCAAAACAACACTCCACTTTCTCGGGGACAAGCGCTCCGACGAAGACGCGTTCTGGGGGCAAAGACAGACACGACAACAACATAATCTGTAGCTATCATTCAAAGGGAATACTAATTAACTCGACTCAGGATATTAGTCACGGTCCTGTAGATATGGCTTGCCTTGTTAGGAGGAATCTGTTTGATGTCTTATTTGCTTCTTTACGTTTCAAATAAATGCCAGTCTAGGAAGAAAAAAAAAGTAGGCTGTATGGATGAAAGAGTGTGGCTTTTCAAATAATTTTGGCTGATGATTATCTATAATTTATTAGTAACATGGAGAAGGACGATAATGATGATGAGAACGTATGGAATGCATCAGCTGTTATTCTGGACATTGATTCAGGTGTGTYTGATAGGCCGAGGTGGGCAGCTTTTTTTTTGTTAGAATAAACAGCTACGACCTCGCTTGTTTTATTTTTATCAGCTTGTGATRTAATCAGCCAAGGCATCAAAAAGTGCACAGCACTGTTTGCTATACCTGCAAAAACCACAGCTTTTATTAGGTTTTAAAAATGAAGTTTGCCGTCTCTGTTCCGAACACCAGAATTGGGTTAAACGGTAATAAATTCAAGTAGAATCTGGTACTGAATTGATATTCTCGTCACAGGATCCTGGGCAGACCGCTCGCCCCTTCACGACGCTGCCAGCCAGGGCCGCCTCCTGGCCCTGAGGACCCTCATTTTACAGGTGAACAGAACACAATCCCTTCTCCTTATCTGCACACACGGAGGCTTTTGTTAGCACCTCTTGTCCCGTTAAATTGTGCTCAGTACCTTTGCAGATCCCCTGACTGATCAAAAGATTTGGGGATTGAAGAGTCAGGGATTACAGTTCACTTCAGGTCTTTTTTTAATTTCATAAAAGGAGATTATTATCACAAATTATCTCAAATTTTGTCCTTTTTTTATTTGTGTAATCACAGGAGGGGCACGAGTACACCAAAGCATACAAAGCTTATCTTTCACCTCTTTTATTCATTACAGGCAGTGTGTAATGAGAACCATCTGGCAACATAAATTTCAGTGTCTAAGACAAATATTTTAAAGGTACTCGTTGCAAACCATGAAATCAAACAAAAGTTACCCTGAACGGCATCACATGTTGCAGTTTGAAGGTGTTTACCCCAGGTTCACTGATATATAAAATTTGGGCAAATTGACCACACAAAAAAGAAGGGTAAAGTTTGAAACAGAGCACAAGCGGCTCATTCCAGAAAACTACTGACTGTTTCATGGCAGCGTTTGCACAAGCACCCTCATGATCAGAACTGCGTGCCCCCAGATGGTAGAGCAACCTAGAAATGCGAGAGCAACCACGATCAGAAATTTGTGGCTGGGGTAGCAGCGACTGTGACCACCTGGGTAATCCGCTGCACCTTGGCGAAGGTGGTTGACTGTTATCAAAATCTATTAAAAAAAAAACAACAACACTGCACTAAAAAATGTGACATTTTCAGGAAAAATAACATCCCGCATGAGGAGGAAATGATTAAAATTTCACACCAATCAGATGACTAATAATAATTCTATTATTCAAATTTTGAGATCTTAGAGGAGCTTTTGGGCTAATCTGACCAAGCCGAATTGTTAGTCATCACACTAAACGCCTGGCGTTCAAATTTTGTGCAGCTATGACCTTCCTGACTGGAGATATAAATGAATTGATTTCGTAAGCTATCAAAACAATAGGTTGGAATAAGAAACAGTTCACAAATAGACTGCACCATATACAACTGTGAACTCCATATCTGCGAAAAAGCTTYTCATGTAGAGGTAACACATAGGCTGCCTATAATGTAATAATGCATAAAAATCCATTAAAATAGCTTAATTATTTTCTGTATATAACATTCAATGACAGCAAAACGACGTCAAATAATGACGAAAGGGGCGCCCATATATGCGGAGCAGTGTGACTCCCGGGGTACCCTGGTAAAACGTCAAATGACGAGTAGGGAGTGAGAATGTGTTGCATGATAATCGCGTGTTTTAGAGCTAAATGATATCACGCACAAAATAATGAAACTCTCAAAGAGTTGTCAGGGAATGTGGTAAAAAACTGCAGCCTCCACCCTGCTCTTACGCTGCTCGCAGATGGAGGACTGTGCTGCAAAGCCCATGATGCCTTGTTTAAGTCAGGCAAATCTATGACAAAGCAGTGACATTACAACATTTCACATGGTGAATTATTTAGCTCTTCACCAGCTTTCTGTTTGATCTTCACTTTAATTAGCAGGCTTATTAACGTCTTATATTGTAATGTGACTTTGCTGTCTAGTTTGCTCATTACTTTCAATCTTAACTGAGAGCGACGTGTTTGTTTTGTGCTGTTTTGTCGGAGAAGATAGGTTTTGGTAATGTTCCGTTAACTCCTGCTTATTTAACCAGCAGAGAGTGACAGAGGTTATCTGTTGTTCGATGCTATTTATTATGTCTTTTTCCCATTAAATGGCTACAGCTACTGGGTTTTGTTTCCAGGGTCACAATGTGAACGTTCTCACCATAGACCATGTGACACCCCTTCACGAGGCCTGTCTTGGAGACCATGTTGCCTGTGCCAGAGCGCTCATCGACGCAGGAGCAAATGTAAGACCAAAGTGGCCTGAAGACTCTGTAATGTTGCCACTCAGCAGAGGTCAAATGTAATTTCCATGGATGGGAAACTCGAACAAATGAGCACCGTGGTACTCTCCATCTACACACAACTGCAGAGCCGTTAAATTATCGGCCCCCTTTGGTTGTTGCTTCTGGCTCTTCCTATTAGTCAACTTGCACAGCTAAACAAGGGCTAAAAATAACAATAAAGACAAAAGTGTTTTCACAGGTCAACGCTTCGACAATTGATGGAGTCACCCCTCTGTTCAACGCGTGTACAGTGGGCAGCGTGGCATGCACTGAAATTCTTTTGGAAAATGGAGCAAAACCCCAGAGCCTTGTGCACCAACCTTCACCGATACACGAGGCGACCAGCAAAGGTAAAATGTGACAAAGTGGTTTTCATTCAGGGTGAGTCTTCGGCTAATGTTAGAGGGTCAAACACTGTTAGAAGGTCAGAAATAGGGATATAGTATTTTACCAATAAAAAGCTTTGGGGTCAGCCTCTTTCTGGTGATGGTTTTCAATATWTTTTTTTCCCTAATCAATAATTTTCCTCATTATAACTGACATTCCATCCTGTCTTTGGACCTGGGTTTGTGGCTTTTGCTTTGCTGCAGTGCCCTTCTTAACAAACCGCGAACAACGTCTTTAAAAATAAATCTTAGCATGACCTGAACGGACAGCTTGAAGAATTATCTCACACTGTCACGTGCTGATTACTGTCTCCATGCCCCATTACTTCCAGGTCATTATGGTTGTGTTGAGGCTCTGGTAACTTGGGGGGCCGATGTGGACACAGACATTCCTCACCTGGGCACAGCACTCTACACTGCCTGTGTCTGCCAAGAGCTGGAGTGCGCCAGGAAGCTCCTGAGGGAAGGTGAGCTCGCAGTGTATCTTCATACAGACTGTCATGGGCCCTATAGAAACATGAACAAATAAGAACATCTATGCAAAGCATTAAAGGCCTATTGTTCCTTAAAGRTTAAGCATATCACATGCACAGTTATAAATGCTCAAAATACAAGCTCAACATTAGCAAAACCCCCCAGGGTTCTGTGCTTGGCAAACAGAATTTATGAAGGCACAAACTTGGTTTCAACTTATTAGGTTTTTTTTTATGAATTTGCTTAAAACAAACAAATTTGGTAACAGAAAGAAACCTATTGGTGTCCTATTCATTATTGATGATACTGAAAGTTGAAGAGTCAGTGAAATRCAATTTTAAGGGTGTCAACATTGATGGAAAGCTGACACGGAAATATCATGTCAATGATTTAAAAATAAAATAGCAAAACTGAGTGCATTGCTGAATAAAATAAAATAGCTATTAAATGATAAATAATGYAAGGATTGTTCTGCATTTAATTTATTGTATTGAAGTTAGAGGAAAAACAATGACAAATCCTATTTTTATTTTACAAAAAGAGCTACAAGAATTGTTAGTAAAATTTTCTATGGTCACCCAACAAATRGTTGAAGTTGAAATTATTAAAATGTTAGGATTTGATTGGTTATTTTACAAGTCATGTATAAAGCTCATAAAAATATTACCTTCAAATATTCAATTAAAATTTGTTAAGAGAGAGCCGGTCACTACTGCCTTAAAGGAATGAGGATTTTTATTTGAAGGAGCGCCACACTGTAATTCAGGGAATAGATTTCTTTATACCAACATAAAAACTTCCAGAACAATAAATGTGTTTAAAATGATTACTAAGTTAAATTTATTAGGAAAGTATGATGTTTGGTGGATATATATCATATCAAGGAATCCCGATGTTGTTGATCTATTTTTTTTTACAAATTTGGAGATTGGTCAAATTCAAGTTGTTGATTTAAGATATTTTTTAAACAAGGGGCAGATAGTATATTTTTTCCCATCTTTTGTGATATACTTTGTTTTTTAATAATTTTTTTGGTTTTAATTGTAAATTAACGAAACAAATTAAAATAAGTAAAACAAAATTGCAGAAATAAATGCAAATTTTGCATATTCTATGATCATTTAGCTGTGATAAAGTTGATCAGTTGTAAATGAAAGCACAATTACTTTCAGAAAGGAAAAAAAGGTAACGGCAAACATGGACGAAACCATGAGTGGCTGTGGAAGAGTGGTTTGGGAAGTCGTCCTGTAACCATTGAGCTGCTGGTTCTTCTCAGTCCTTGGGCAAGACAATTCACCAGCCTTGTCTCCTAGTGGTGGTCAGAGGGCTTGGGGGCACTGGTGCAAGGCAGCCTCGCCTCTGTCCATGCCCCCAGGCCAGCTGTGCCTACAGTGTACAGTAGCTCACCATTATCAGTGTGTGCTGGGTGAATGACTGTAAAAGGTCTATAGGGACTTAACAAAGTTCAGGCCATTCACAATAAACAAAGAAGTTTGGTTAAGAAGTTTTAAAAGCCCCTGAAAAAAACATATGGAAACTATACTAAACTGTAATCAGACAAGAAACTGAATAGACGAGAAACATATTTTGCTAACTTTTGATTGACATTTTCTAAGTAAACAAATATACAATGCAAGCAGAACGTGCTGAAAGGAGATGATTGAAGTGCATCTATAAATCTGAGCACTCTGCTCCGAGTTTCAAACGTATTACCTTTGATTAACGGTAAGAAGCTGATTCAATTCCAAGGTAAATGGACGATTTAATTAGACACATTTAAATAAAAGTTATCTGTAAATATAAATATAAGTCACACTATAAGGAGAAAAGTTTATATTTAATTATGAGATAATATGTCAAAGGCTTTAAACGTTTTAGAATGGATTATCAAACCGCATTGTTTGCAGGTGCAAATGTACAAAAAGGCCGATTCCTGGATTCACCCTTACACGCTGCAGCAGAAAAAGATTGCACAGCTGTCGTAAAGCTGCTGCTGGATTTCGGTGCTGACATTAACGCCAGAAACACAGAGTTCCAGAGGCCAGTGGATGTGGCTCCGCCCAGCAGTCTAACAGAGGGCTTTCTGCTTCTTTATGAAGGTAAAATGTTTCCTTTCAGTGGTCTCTCCCCTGTTGTCTCACTCAGCTTCAGATCTAATATTTCTTATTGTTTTTTCATCTTTGTTACTTTTAATGAAATTCTCATTGTTTCTACGTTAAATTTAGATGCTCTTTTCTTCACAGCTACACCCCGACTCCTGAGCCAGTTGTGTCGTCAGTGCATCAGAAACTGTGTTGGTCGGGACAGACTGCACCTTCTTTCCCACCTCCCCCTCCCCAACAGGATCAAGAGCTACCTGCAGTACCAATGACCTGCAGGATCAATAAACCGTGGGCCTGAATGTGACTTTAAAGAAGACGCCCTTACCTAAAAAAATAATAATAATAAGCTATCAACACCCAAAATGTATCAACTCAGTCAGAGTGACTGATTAAATTATGTACAGACAGGAAGCTGCACTGAGAGCAACCAGGGTTCATGAGTTTTATAGCACAAAACAAGAAATAAGTATTACAAACTAAATATTATCATTTTGGTCTGCTCATGTGTTTAGAGAATGCCTTGATCTTTCCAAAAACTATAACCTGATAATGCACTTTAATTAAGAAATATTTTATGAAGTACTAATATTGTATAAATCAAACTGAATGAGTGTTCTACATTTCATATTGTGCACTGTTGAATAAAATGTTTTTAAATCATGTAGAGTGAAAAGCCCATTTTTTTATTGGATACCGTAAGATCATAATCTTTATATCTGCGTTTACTTCACTCGTGCAGCTAAGAAGAAAGAAGAAAGCAACTGCAAGTTTCAGGTTATAAGCATCAGC